GTGGAAAGGATGGCTAAAACATAATAATGGTGTGGAAAGGATGGCTAAAGGGGGAGAAGGGAGGCCATCAAAAAAAAAAAAAAATGATTCAGAGCTGTTAAATAAAACTAACACAACTCATTCAAAGTTTTAAAACTGTTACATTTAGAAACTGTTCTTTATCATGCCATACAATTAAAAATTGTTGATAAAATCGTTTACAATTGAGGAACATTCACGACAATTTATAAATAATAAAGCAAAAAACGTGTTCTAATAACGTGTTAGCGTATTTAGACCAGGTTGTTTCAATTAATTGTGTTGAATTTCTCAGGATAAAGGCGTATTTCTTCACTTATACCAGTTTTTATTAAGTTTTTATCCAAGGCAAGCATTTTCTTTTTGTTGCAACTAGGCTTGCCGTAGTTTTTCAGTAAAATGTTTCATTTCAATAACTTTTTATGTGCGAACAAACTGCACTTTCTGTTTTCCCCCTTCTACAATTTACTTTAAGTAGGATTTTAAAAAAAATCATATTGGGTGGCTGAAAGTTGGAATTACTGTAACATAAAAAGGGGTTTTCTGAATTATATCAAAAGGTGCAAATTGAAAGAAATTACTTCTGAATTTTTATTGTAGCTATATAAATAGGATCATTTTTTATTGTTAGTTTTGGTCAAGGCTAAGCCTATTAGTTAGAATATTATAATGAAAAAATTAATATTAGTACATAAATGTTTTTTTTCTAAAACAAGGTTTCTGTATGATTTAAACTTGCAGAAAGGGCGAGTGAAGGAGAACCGGTTTGATAAGCATCAAAATGACTGAAATGGACTTGTGCTTTTGTCATAGAGATTCCTGATACGCGAAGCATTTGTCTTCTGAAAAACATTAAGAAAACAAACATTTTCTGGTTCGTGCTGGAGCATAATGGAGGAATCTGAGCCGCTGCTGAAGGCCGAGGAGAGGAGGCCAAACGGCGGCTGCAGATGGAGAACAAACACTCTGGATTCAAACACCGTAGAAGATTTCAGGCAGAAGCTGAAATATTTCTTCATGAACCCGTATGAGAAGTACAGATCCCGGGGTCGCAAACCATGGAAACTGATGCTACAGATAATCAAAATTATAACCATCACTGCTCAGGTTGTAATAGAACTCATTTTGATTATTTAGATGCGCATTGGTTTGTTTTTGTCTCGTCATGTTTCTTTTTGTTTGTTTTGTGTGCAGCTAGTCTCTTTTGGCTTGAGCAACGAAATGATGGCCACATTCAAAGAGGATAATCTGATGACGTTCAGACATCTCTTCCTCGAAGGATTCAAGGATCACCCGCAGGGAAACTTTGCACTTTACACCAAAGTAGAAGTGTACGACCACATCTACTACATCATCGACAAGGTACTGCAGATTTACACACACAGACATTTTTGTGATGTCTTTTTAAGGAATGTTTTCTTCTTCTTTTTCAGTACACCCATCTCCAGAACCTGACTTTAGGTAATCTCGCTTATGAGAGGGTTGATGGCAAGTATACACCTTTATCCATCTGCCAAGTGCTTTACGGAAACGTCAGCCTTGACCCTGGGAGAGATACCTTTGATATCGATCCACACATTGAAAAAGGTACCAAATCAGAGCTGCTTGTCTATGGTTGAAAATATCTTCAAAACTTTAGTTTTTTTTTAGTTTTTTAGTTTAAAATTTAGTCATTTAAAAACAACACAAATTCAACATACAACAAAAACACAAATCACAAATTAAATTAAATGAAAGGTAGCAGAAGAAGAAAGAATCTTTTAATCTCTGCCCCCTTTTTTACAAACAAATTCAAAGAACATATTCTTCAATTTACAATAAACATAAATAACAATTTCCTATTACATACAAATTTTACATACAATAAATACAATATCAAAATAAAATGCAATGCAGCAGAAAGAAGAAAAAAATCCTACATTATCTGCACCGTTTTTAAAAAGAAAAAATTAAATAAACAAATTATCCCTTAAGTAATAAAAAGAAAAGAAAACAAAACAGCGATAATCCTCATCGAACAAATTATATGAGTTCAAAACTTGAAAGCATTACAGGTTTCTAAAAGCTGATTCAGTCACCTGGAAGAGGTAGGTTTCCATGTGACATGACAAGAGGAAAATATTAGAAACTGAATTTGACTTTGCTATTATTTGTAGAAGAATAAAATGTTAAAGCTAAAACAAGAACAAAAGTTAAAATCTGCACAACTGCAACTAAATCTAAACTTAGCAAAACCAAAAGCTAAAATTAGCGGTTTGAAGCATCTGAAGCTTTTCTTTATTTTCTAAACAGGCTTAGCTAAGATGTTGGAGCTTTTTTTCTTGTGCACAAGCTCTTTTATTTGTATTAAGTTCATAAAACCTTTTTTTGCTGGCTTTTATTGTGAAGAACTTTGTGATTTTATATCCATGAAAATGCTATATAATTAAATTTGATTCACTTACTCAGTTTAGTAACTGACGACTAAATTAGCAAAACTGTCGCTAAAAGCTAAGTTTGGAAAAGCTATACAAGCTGAAATTAACAAATTAGTAGCTAAAACTAAATTTACAAACTTGTTGCTTAAAGTTAAAATTTGCAAAACAAAAGCTGAACACAAAAACGTGTAGAACTGAGCCCTAATTAGCAAAACAGTAGCAAAAACATTAATCTGGCAATCAGCGAAATTAAAGCTAAAAGCAAAATTCAGTAAAAACTTAGATTAAAGCTAAAATTAGCAAAACAAAAGGCATTATAAAAGTTAAAATTTGCAAAACAAAAGCTGAACACAAAAACGTGTAGAACTGAGCCCTAATTAGCAAAACAGTAGCAAAAACATTAATCTGGCAATCAGCGAAATTAAAGCTAAAAGCAAAATTCAGTAAAAACTTAGATTAAAGCTAAAATTAGCAAAACAATAGATTACAATAAATAGAGCAGGTTTGCTGAAATAGGTTTAAGAGAACAATGGTTTTGAAGAATTTTCAGTGGATTTTTATAGCAGTTTTACTACTTATTTAACAACGCCCCTTTTCCCCCCCACACAGATTGTATCTCCATTTATCCTGTGCAGCTGGACAACAGTCGTTTGGACACGAAAGTCAACTTGTCTTTAGATTTTAACAGGTAGGTAACTAAAAAGCCATTTTAGCGTGAAACGAAAACAGTGCCGTCTAAGTTATATTTGTGTGTGCAGGTTGTTGTCAGTAAACATCAGCTTCAATGTGAAAACCATCAATCTGCAGACTGTGAGGCACCACGAGCTCCCGGACTGTTATGGCTTCCATGTAATGGTTGGTGACAGTTAACTGTAAACTGACGCACCTTCAGCTTAGTTTATGCAACAGCAGATTAGAAAAAAAAAATGTTGGAACTTTTACATTTATTTTAACTTCTGTTTTATTGTAAACAGTCTGTATGAACTCATCATATTTTGTGTTGAAATACATATTTTAGTGCTGTTATGTAGAGCAGGGGTTCTCAAGCCATTTGGGTCTGGGGACCCCTTTCAAGGACAAAAAAAAAAAAAAAAAAATCCAGGGACCCCCTCATAAACTCCATGCTGTTTTAAAAGATAATTTATTGTCATTTCTACCCCTAAATGCCATGGGAATATCTACTTTTATTACATTTATTATGTTTGTTTTATTGGTTCATTGTTCTCCATGCATTTTTAAAAATAAAAACCAAATTAACATTTTAGTAAAAAATTTTGAGGACCCCTAAGATACCTCTTGCTGACCCCTGGGGGTCCAGGGACCCCAGTTTGAGAACCTCTGATGTAGAGGACAAATTATTTGTAGCCATTTTAATATTTCTTGGTTTGAAATTGCATTAACTTTATAATAATTAGGGTCATGCACACATTTTACCATGTGAATTTAACATGTGTTTGTTTCCTTTGAACACAGATAATCTTTGATAACCACGCCCACAGTGGGAAGATAAATGTTGATGTTGATCATGATGTTAGGATTTATGAATGCAGAGACTGGAACGTGGCTGGCAGCTGTAAGATTTTATCCTTTTGTTATGCCGTAAATATATTTACATGTTTATAACAGCAGAAACTGAGGCGAAACGATGCGTGCTTCTGGTTTCCAGCCGGCAAGATCGATGTTCTTCTCTTGTTGTGTGATTCTGTGGTCATCCTCGCCTGTTTGTCCTCGCTCATCCTCTGCTCTCGGTCCATCGTCTGTGGCATTCAGCTCCAGTTTGTAAGTTTGAGCGTGAAGTACAAAAACTGGAAGGAGCAGTAGATGAATCACATGCATCGCGTGTCATGATGTGTATTTCACCTCATGAAAAACCTCATTTGTGTTAGCTTTTGCAACTGTTCGCAGGAGTTCAACATTTTCCTCCACGCTTACTACGATAAGATGGTGACGTGGTCGGAGCGCATGGAGTTTGTGAACGGCTGGTATATTTTTATCTTTATCGCCGACACAATAACCATCACAGGATCGGCGTTGAAAATAGGAATACAAACAAAGGTTTGATTTATTTTTTTTAAATCCAAACCCAATTAAATTAATTATCGGGTTCAACTCTTATAATTGATGAAAGTTGTGCCCTAAAACGTGTAGTGTTGTAAAATGTATACATGTGTTTTTTTGTTTTTTTTAGTTCATAACGAGTTATGATGTTTGTAGTATCTTGCTGGGAACAGCCACCATGCTGGTCTGGATTGGTGTCATTCGCTACCTTTGTTTCTTCCAAAAATATAACGTGAGACTTCCCTCTTTGTTATGACTGATGCACTGTGTAAAAAGCAGGTGCATTTCCATAAGAAATGAGTTTATTCGTTGCTTTTCAGATCTTGATTTTAACCCTGAGAGCAGCGTTTCCAAACGTGATTCGTTTTTGCTTCTGTGCTGCCATCATCTACGTCGGTTACTGCTTCTGTGGCTGGATCGTCCTCGGGCCTTATCATGAGAAGGTGCGGTAATAAAATCGACCCGCTTCTGGTCCTTGTTCCTTATTAAAACACGAGGTCAGCAAAACAAATTTTGTTTTGTTTTATTTTAGTTTCGAACATTTGACAAAGTGACAGAGTGTCTCTTCTCTCTCATCAATGGGGACGACATGTTCGGCACCTTTCTGAGGATGAAAGACAAAAGCTACATGGTGTGGCTGTTCAGCCGACTCTACCTCTACACCTTCATCTCTCTCTTCATCTACATGGTGCTCAGCCTGTTCATCGCTCTCATCACCGACACCTACGAAACCATCAAAGTCAGCTTGACAAACTCGCCGTACCATGTCACGACTTATTCTTTTGTCGAAACTGTGCACAGATTTTTACATTTTTAAATTTTCTTTTAGAATCACCAGAAAGACGCAGAGCCAGCGTCCCTCCTTCAGGCCTTCATAGCTGAGTGTAAGGACCAGCCTGAGTCAGGACGACACCAAACGGATGAGGGACAATCGACCTGCTGTAAATGTCTGTGCAGGTGCCGCAACAGAAGATCAAGGATGTAGTGTCTATTAAATCCATGCAAATATATTATTGTAAGAAATACGTGTTTTAATATCGGCTGACATCAGATGAAAACACAAGTGTTAAATAAGATGATCTGCGATAGGAAATAAATGTCATACAACACCAGAATTCTGGAGTGAGGTTTATTATGCTGACAAGTCAAAACCACACTGAATGAAAAACAGGAAGTCCCCGTTTAAATACAGTACACGATTCTTCAATGCCTGAGTTCGCCCTCTGCTAGCCTACGGCTGAATCACAGGCGTTCAGACAAAGACCTCACCCCTAATGTTAACACAGCTTTTTAATTATGTGTTGTATTTGAATTCGGATATGTAGCTATTATTTCAATTAACACATAATAGATCAAACATTTTAAAAGTATTATAAAATAAGGAAACCCTAGTAATCTGGTGTTGTTTATAATACCAGTACTAATCTATAATAACTATAAATTTCTTCATTATCAATCCTAGTCCTTAAAACCGACAAGGCATCATGGATTCTGACAATAAGTGTTTAAAATCAACCTGCATCAACATTTTAAAGGTTTTTGAATATTTTAAACTCATTGTTTGGACACCTTGAAATATAATTTTTCCAACTGGGAATGCTATTTTATTATTATTTTTAATTCTGACTAGTAAAACTGTTATTTCAATCGAAATTGACTAAAATGTGTGATTTGATTATATGCCACAACGGCCTCCCAACTAATTAAAGGTGACACTTCCCTCTTCTTGCCACTAGGGGGCAACGCTCATATTGTAAAACACCTGAAAGAGTTTTTCTCATCTGCATAATCGTGCACCCGACGCACGAGCTCATCCAATGTACGTCGGACATACTGGTTGCTCAGTAACGTATTCTCCAATAATATCACAGTGTAGTTGGACGACACACAAAAAAAATAGCTTAAAAAAACAGACTGGCAGAACGCGAGGCGAGCCTGACAGCAAGTAACCCTGTTGTGTTATTATCARTGCTTGTTTGAGTTGAAGCACTGTTTAAATACTGTTTTCTGCTGCCAAGATGACAACTGAATGTAAGACTTGGATCGCAGGTGTTTTTATTGGACTTTGAACTCGTTAATTGTTACAACCTCACGTCTGAACTCGGAAACTCTTGACCCAGTTTCACGTTTTTACTGTGAGTATGGTGTCATTTAGCATAGCCAGGTTAACAAACCGAGTAAAAGCATTTTAGCATAAATATTGTGAGTATAGCTTCGCGAATATCTATAATGTAACTACTGCTGTGCATGTTTACATATGTTTACACAAGTTGTTATCAAAAATTTAGCATAAAAGCTAAGCTAAACAACAGTTAACCTGTAAAGATTAATGGTTTGCACGTTACGTCATTGTTACAGAGGCACACTTTAAACAGTTTAACTTAAGATAAAAAAATAAAGGTGTGTCTCGTCTGTTTTGCTTGATAAGACCACAAAAGAGACCTGGCTTTAAACTAATTAGCCCTCAGTGACCATTATCATCATTTTTTTTTTGGTAAAAATATAAGTAGAAATCTTCATGTGTTCCAAAGATCAAACTGTAAAGCTATGGAAGTGGTTCTTGTTTCTGGTTCAGCCTGTTTGGACCACTAGGACAATGTGATCAAATCTATCATGAAGCCACAACAGTTTTTTTTAAAATAAATAATAATAATAAAAACACGTCAAAACATTATTAAGCTGTAATGGATTTGTTTTTTTGTTTTTTTATCTTTGCAAATCCTCTCCTGAGGATGAGATCATCCTGTGGCCCTGCAGTTCAAATGCCACAAGTGCATTTAAACCTCATCCCCCCCCCTACCCCCCCCGGCACACATCTGACGGGTAATCCTGTGTGGGTGAACCATCAGCCCAGATTATTTCTGGCCCGCCTCATAGTTTGATCCTGTGTTCCAGGGCTCTGTTTCAGCGGGATCTTCCAGTCTGCTGCCTGACTGCTGATCCGCCTCGCCGCTGATCGCCTGTTACCTCACGTCCCCATGTTTCTGTGACATGAGCGAGTCGGGGACGACAAAGTCACCTATGGGTAACTGTCTCTGGTGGTGGTGCACGGAGCCGTGAGCTGTGGTTTATTTTGGGATTTATTTGAGGTGGCCCACATTTTTTTGCTCCCGTTCGGAGAGGCAACCTAATTCCAGCCTCTCGGGAGGAGAAAGAACGATTGATGCAACGTGCTGACGGTTCCTATAATTTCTTTGTCTGGTCTGTTCTCAGAAGACGATGAGATCTCAAGGATATCACACGCAACCGTGTCCCCCGCGAGGCAGAACAACCTCGTGTCTGTGTATCCTGTCCCCTTATCTGCAAGCTCCTACAGCATAATGAGTGCCTTTTGCACCGAGGATAATTTTCCTCAGTGCATTTCTTACATCAATCAGGTATGAAAATTACCCAATTGCAGATTTTCTGTTTCATAGAAACAAAATGCAAACATTTAGTTAAGATTTAACGATGACTGCTTTTAAATTTGGACAAAAGTGCTCTTTCTAAATGCTTTGTTTTGCAGTACTAACTTGCACAAGTCCTCTCTGTGTCACAGGAGCTCGGCTCGTTGGGCCTGTCCACGTGCGTCGAGGCCAGCGCACCAGGGGGAGCCGGCCTAAATGCAGTGCCCACTCTGAACGCCATGCATGAGCTGCTGCAGATCCACAGACGCACCATGTGCACTTTAGAGGAGCTGGAGAGGGAACATCTGAAGAATTTAAGCACTTTGAAACACGTGCAGACGACTACTTCCACACTCGAGGCAAGTACGCCTGGTGGTCACACAAGTGAACTAATCTTTGTTCAAATTCTTGACAAAAAAGTGTCTTCGTTTCCTTCTGGATTCAGCTGTGTTTGCATAAAAGCTTACACGTGTAAAGGTATGGCATGAAATAAGAATATATTTAAAGTACCTCAAAGTGATACTTGAGTAAAAGTACAAGTATCTTATCATAAAAATACTTTGGCAAAAGTTAAAGTCTACTCTAAAAATATTACTTAAAGTCTTTAAAGTATCTGATATTTTTTGTACTTAAGTATCAAAAGTAAATTTCTGACACAAACTCTACTTAAGTATTAAAAGTAAAAGTGAGAAGTTAGATTTTCCAAAGTGACATTTATTGGGAGGTGACTTCTCCAAAAAATATTTTTGATGATGGGTTGTGTACAAGCTAATAGTGTGTCAGAATTGTATATATTTATACTTCTCATCCAACCACAATTAAATTCACTCTATCCAGGATACACAGTTTATTTATTTATCAGGATAGTATTTTTTTTAAGTAATAACTCAGAATAAAATAGGAGTAACGACTTTCTACTTCTTACCTTTTTAAAAAAATGTAGTGAGTAGGAAGTACAGATAATTGTGTAAAAGTAAAAAGTACGCTGAAAAATAATTACTCAAGTACAGATAACCAAAATTTCTACTTAAGTACAGTTACAAAGTATTTGTACTTAGTTACTTTACAACTCTGATAAATAGTAAATGGGGAAGAACGTTAACCAGGTTCTTGTGAAAAATTCTACAACGTTTAACTTTGTTTTTGTTGTTTTTTTATATCCGTTCAGGATCAGCTGGAAATGTCCATAAGGGAGAAATCGGGGCTGCGTGAGACGGAGCGACAGCTGCAACTCAAAATTAAAACTCTGCAGAGTTGCTTAAAAACTGAAAAAGATGAGGTGAAGCCTTTTTTTTTTTTTTACATTCTGCTTCAAGCCCCATTAGTGTTGCTCGCAGGTCTTTTGTTTTTTGAGATGGCAAGAGTCTGATGAACCTGCATGCTTTAATCAGGTCCAAAAGCTCCAGAATATCATCGCCAGCCGTGCCTCACAGTACAGCCATGACGCCAAAAGGAAAGAGAGAGACGCTGCAAAGCTGAAGGAACGCCTCAGTCACTTATTGGTGGATAGAAAGGATAAGAAACTTGGTAAATCTGCTGACCTTAAACAAGAATATGTTGTAATTTTATGCATTTTGACAAAAGCGTTTAAACTCTTGCCGTTTTTTTTCCGATAAAGCCATCGACATGCTGAATTGCTTGGGCCGATCCGACGGGAAAAGGAGCCTCTGGAGGAATGCGAAGGCAACAGCCAGGTGTTTTAAAACAAACATCCCAGTTGTCGACTTTGTAAAATGTGATCCATCACATCGAAATAAGGATTAAGTCAAATTTATTGAAAATGACCTAATTACGTTTTCAGATTCTTGGTTTAAAAGCTACGTTTTGATACCTGGATCATTCTGATATGGATCCAGAGATATGACTTCATTTATCTTTTTGGTTACGATAAAACAATAATATTTGGTCTGAGTTCTAATTTTGTGTAATTTTAAGGAGGAATTTTTAATGTCAATGTATAGAAAAAAACTTCAAATAGTATTTGAATATTGAGATTTTCTAGCTGGAAAGAAACAAAAACATTTCTAGCTCACAGGGAAAAATCTCAAAATTTTAAGGCGTTTTTCCTCAAAATCAGGTTCTTTGTTGGTACTGGCCAAAAACGTGCTTCAAATTTTTGTTTTATGGTTATATTTCAGACAGTTCATTCAAATGATATATTGATAAGGCATTCATTATGTTTTGACAAAATGCTATTTTTGAAAATGTTTTAATCAAAACACTATATTTGCCTATTTCTCCTCATTCCACTTTGAGACTTGATCCTCATTTCGATGTGATGGGTCACAAATATGTAATATTTGATCACAAAAGTGAGCTTGTGCTGATCTGTCTGCAGCCATGAGGGTGAGATGTACAAAGCTTTGCTGTGTGGCTATGAGGCGAGCCAGAAGGCCCTGGTTCTGGAGAACGCCGAGCTCAAAAAGGTCCTCCAGCAGATGAAGAAGGAAATGGTGCACATCCTGAGTCCACGCCAGGCCTCTGCCAAAGGAGCCACGGCTGATGAAGAGCAGGTGTTTGGATTATAGATACAAGTTCAGGCAAAGAAGGGTTTTGATTGAACTGATGAAAGCTTTAGAACTGAACTAGTTTCCATTTCCATTTATTTATTTATTTATTACGACAGTGCACATTAATCAACATTACCACAATACATGGCAAAGTAAATATGCAAGAAGAAAAAAATTGTATAGGTCCTCTGGACGGGTTCTTCTCTAATGAAACGTTTCGTCTCTCCTCCAAGAGACTTCTTCAGTCTGAGAGTTTCAGGCAAAATTCAGGCTTTTAAGCCCTGCCTCCATGTGACTGATACTCACATCACATGGCTATCGTTGACACCTAATTAACACCTATTGTTAACAGGGGGTGGAGTGATACTGGCAATAGCCGCACTGTAGGAGGGGGACAACTGAAAACAGAGGCCTCCACCTCTGTTTAATGATGGACGGTCTTCCTTCACAAAAATGGCTTCTTTTACTCCTCTCTCAAACCAACGTTCCTCTATCAAGAATGAGAACATCCTCATCTCTGAAAGAGTGACCGCTGGCCTGTAAATGAGTGAAAACTGCAGAGTTCTGGCCAATAGATGTAGATCGTCTGTGTTGGGACATTCTTTTGAACAGTGGCTGCTTTGTCTCCCCGATGTATAACTGGTCGCAGTCCTCCTGGCACTTAACAGCATATACAACATTGCTCTGTTTGTGCCGGGGCACCGGATCTTTGGGGTGAACCAGCCTTTGCCGTAGTGTGTTTTGGGGTTTGAAAGCTACTGGGACATCATGTTTAGAAAATAAACGTCTCAGTTTCTCTGAAACACCCGCAAAAACAGATCAGCAGAAACTCTCAGACTGAAGAAGTCTCTTGGAGGAGAGACGAAATGTTTCATTAGAGAAGAACCCGTCCAGAAGACCTATACAATTTTTTTCTTTTTGATTTTTTACCTGGATTACTGAGATGCATCAGGATAAATATGCAAGAGTTAGCTCAGTAGCTAACTTTCATCCCTTGTCCTACAAGTAAGCACAAAACAGAACACCTCGCTATACAGTTCATATAACAAAACACAGTAGAAAGAAAATAAATAAATAAATAAAATTGAAAATGAGAAGTTTTATGAGATGTTCATTCTAGGCACAACACTGCTGCTCAACCTACAGCTGTTTTTTTTTTATTACAAATGTGGAACCATTTAAAGGACAAAAAAAACAAACAAAAAAAAAAACAGGCTTTCCAGCTATATATTTCCCACCCTCACAAAAAGATCAGCTAAAACCAGATTTTCCTTCCAGGTGGATTCGGACAGAGAGGAGAAGCTGGGCGACTCGAGCAGGGAATCTCTGGACCAATCCTGCGAGCACGTCAGGGAGCAGCTCATCAACAGCATCCGTCAGGAGTGGAGGAAACTGAAGGACCACGTGGAGAAATTAGACAGCCAAGGTTCTACGCTTATTTGTTTTTAAATGAACAAAAAAAAAAAAAAATCAAAAAAGGGAATCTGTATCAGGTTTTTATTTTATTTTATTTATTTTTTTGTTTGCTCAGCCTCTCAAGTGGCGTATGCAGAGACGATCCCTTTAGAGACTCACGAGGATGAGATGGAGAGAATGAGGGGGGAGGTCCTGCAATGCAAAGAGTTCATTCAAGCACAACAGCAACTTCTGCAGGTCAGACTTTGGTGCTTTTTTATATTATGATAGAGTATGATTAAATTAAAACATACTTCTTATACAAACATCTTAATGAGTGCAGTTAAAGAGGTGAATAATAAATTTAGTTTATTAGATCGCATTGTTTACAGCAGAGCGTTATTTGTTTTCTTTTCCAGCAACAATTAAACGCATCATTTGACGACGAGACGGCGGCTTTTCTTAACGACTGCTACACACTGGAGGAGAAGGAGCGCCTCAAAGTGGAGTGGAGGCTCTTTGAGGAGCAGAAGAGGAACTTTGAGAAAGAGAGGAAGAACTTCACAGAGGCTGCTATTCGCCTTGGCCGGGAGGTATTTTCTCCCTCTTCTGCTGATGTCACGGCGCATATTGTTTCTGTAATGTGTAGCGAGTGCTGTCGTGACGTTTTGTCCATTTTATTTTGCAGAAAAGGGCCTTTGAGGAAGACCGCGCCGCTTGGCTGAAAAATCACTTTTTAAGCATGACTCCTTTTACAGATCGCAGGAGATGGTCCTCATCAGATTGTCAAAGTGCCTTATCAGTTAGTAAGTCAGTGTATTATGTGAAGTGGTGTGTATGTGTGCTGGTTTTTAACTACTTGATGTCCTTCGTGACAGAAAGTGAATCAGAGATCAGCATGTCTTCAATAAAATCTCCGAAGGCAAAGTCGTCAACCTACACTGCATTTTCTACTCCCAAACCTTCACGAAGCACTACTACACCATCTACCGCTGATCTGTACCGAACGCTCTGCCTCATACCAGAAAGCAGGTACAGCTGTGTTTCATTTCATTTTTAGAATAAGATAATCAGAACGTTCAACAAAAGATTGTATATATTGTAGTCCGTATTCCTAAGAATTTTATGTTAGTAATCCCATCTATCCTTCTGTTTTCAGTTCATCAAGACACTCAAGTCGAGGGAGCTGGCCTGAGTCTAGCCCAGTTGAAGATGGGGAAAGACGGATCAAATCTAAAAGAGTTCATTGCAGTGATGACTTGAGTATTTTCACATTTAGTGAAGAAGACAACCTCGCTTAAAGATCAGTGCCTGTTTTGCTGGATTTTTTTTTTCCTTTGCAGTAGACTTTAGCATAGATCTGTGGATCTTTCAGCAAAAACGAGCGTTTTGTTTTCCACAGGTGCACATCATTCTTCAAAGCTACTCAAACAAGAAAGCACTTTATGCAGTCTGCCACTGTTCATGTCTTCCCCTCATTGATCAACACTGTTTAGAGATTGTAAGCTGTGCTCATTGTATGAAGAATCACTTTTTAAATTTTTTGTTTTAACTTATTTAAATGTATATCTTAGATTTTAAGTAAATTATATACTGATTCTATCAAATGACATTTTTTTGCTAAATAAATGGTGTAATTTTTTCCTTTTGGTTTGGCGCCCCCTGGTGTCTGTTTGTGGTTACTGCAGTAACAAACCGGATGTTCTCATTTTTGCGTTTTTTTGCAGCAGAAGAACGCACCCACACGGCTTTAAATTTCTTTGTAAATCAACACAAAACGCGTTAGAAATGTCAAGTGCCTCGAACCTGGTAGCCATGAAAAAGGTGGTACGACAGCTCCGTTTTGAGGCGAGCGTAAACAGAGTTAAGGTGAGGAGTTTTTCCTGTTTATGTCGGAGATAAAAATCATTACATTTAGCTAACGTGGCTAGCTTAAAAGCTAGTAGCTCGATTATTTTGTTGGCGTGTTAAGTAATTACATAAACATATATTTAATCTCTTTATGAAACATGTATTGTGATATTTTACACTTATTGTTACTGGTGTCTTACATGTCTCAAGTTGATGTGATTTTATTTGTAACTTGGGACTCCCAAAGCGGAAGTCTTACAATTTTAGTATTTTTTCCATGTTTTGGCCTATGTCTGCCTTATCTATCATATATTCTGATAGCAAAAAATTATATTCAGTCTATTAGTTCACACAGTAGTCTTTGATGCAAATGTCACAAACACAATATTCAGATGTCTTACAATACATTTGTTCCTTACTTTCATTAAGGCATCAAAATGATTTGATTATTAATGCAGATTTTGTAAAACATTTGGCACATCTTAACTCTGTTAAAATTTAGCTACTAGTAAGCCAGCAGAAAGTTTCAGTGGCTTATCGTTTATTCTAGTAAAATCTTTACCCATAAAATGAAGTTATCTACAGGTTTTATAAATAAAGCAGTGTAATTCCACATAACTGGGGGTTTCCTCTTATTGCAGGTTTCCCAGGCGGCTGTAGACCTTCAGCAGTTTTGCTTGCAGAATGCCTTGCAGGACCCTCTGCTCACCGGTGTGTCCTCCAGCACCAACCCCTTCAGGCCAAAGAGGGTCTGCATTTTCTTGTGAAACAATATATATTGGTAAGTTCAGCCCCCATTTCAACACACATGCTCTTGTCCGACACACAGTACCAACCGTTTTAGTAAGATCCAGAGAAAAGCTAAAGTACAATTTATTTTTTTTAGTTTTCTTTATATCGCAGTGTTGACAGTAGAGATGTGAATATATAAGCGTCAGCTGCAATTTGTCAAACGTGAGGCAAAAATAAAACAAAATCCCATGTCTAATCCCTCCGCTTTTACCTCCGTTTGTTTTATAGATGCTACAGGGAGCTGCTGATGTCAGCACTGTTCTACGCCAAGCCATTTCACTGCCATGGGATCTGTCAGATGTAAAAAACAAAAAAACAAAACAATGGAGTCATGTCCGGGATAAAAAAGGTGTTATTGTTACCAATAGTAGCTAATAGAATAGCTTACCTTTTTTATGGCATTGTGGGATTTTTAAAATAAATTATTGTACCTTTTCTATTACTCTTGTCTTAGGCATGATATTTCTGGGTGTTTTGTATTTAATAAAACCTTTTTGAAATCTTTATTTTTTATTTTTTATTATTATTATTATTTGCTGAGTATGTGCATAATGATTTCAAAGTTTCTACTCTCACAAAACAGAGCTGCTCTTAGCTTTAGTGTAACATGTAAAGTCCGAAGCACAGAGTATGTTTTTTTTTTATTAAGCCACAGCTGCACGTATAAGTGGATCTAAATTGGTAATGGATAATTTTGAAAATTGTCATTGTTACGAGAAAGAAAACGCCCCACGGGATTACACAATAAGGTAAAGCTGCACTGCAATTACAGAGCATTAAAGTTTTAAAAACTATACAAGCTTTTGCTGCGTGGATCTCAAGTTGAAATTGAAAGTTCAGAAAAATAATCTTCACAGCAACAGGAATATATATATATATATAAAAAACATGGCTCAAAATTACACAACGTTACATATTACGCAATAGCTTCCTACATTCCGTGGTTTCCCATTGCACCTTAAACGCATCACCAGCCCGCGCAAGTCTCACTCTCGCGAGATTTGAATCAGCGGCTTGATCCGTGTTCCGAGTGAGGAGACCGCTTCCTGGAGAAGCTCTGGGTACTGAACCCAGGTCGGTTTCCTTGTCCCGCTCCTGAAGCGGGTCAACCAGAGCTCGTAGCGTGGAACTGCCACTCGACCAGCCGAACGACACCACACTTATGAAGAATGAACCATGGGACGGCGTTACACATGAAACGACGGTAACGTCTTTTGTTAACCTGCTAGCATGTTAGACGGCTAGAACAAAAGGTGGTTAATGAGTTTATTCGGTGTGTGTGTGGTCACTTAGAGTTAGATTGGCAGCTTTTATGTTTGTATGGGTCCTGTGTTTTATTTACGTCACGCGGCTAAGCTGATGCAACACGGGGAGGTTTAGCTTTATGGGTTGCCATGATGACACAGCCCGGCTCAATAAAACCGGATAGAGGACTGACTCTGTGATTCTGTCGCAGCTAGCAAACGAGTTTGTARAGTCGAAGCCCGATGATGCTCCAGGATGGCTCAACCCAGCTCCTCTGCCTCACAGCCGGCAGCGGGGTTCCTCTTTTCACCCGAGGGGCCTCCCGACAGCAGCTGCCCTTCTCCGTAATCGGCTCCCTGAACGGCGTGCACCTGTTCGGAGGAGGTCAGGGAGCTCTGCTGTCCTGCTGCGGCACGGACAACGGGGGGAAGGTGACGTGGAGGGTGTTTCACGACAGCGTGATGCTGATCGCTGTGAGTGGAGGAGGAGGAGGTGGTGGACATCAAGAGGAGGAGGTCCACCTGCAGCGCCTCCTGGAGAACGCGTGGAACTGCATGGTGCTGGTGTTGGGCCAGGATGAGCTGGCAAATGTCAGGAATGTGGAAAGACTGAAGAAGGACCTGAGGTCCTGCTTCAGCCTCATCGATCAGCTGCTGGAAGGGAAGCACCCAGGTATCTTTGGAGACCTCACACACTGTGCTGATTCACTGCTGCCACCGAACCTCACCCCCCTGCAGGAGGCTGTGGATGGATTTGCCCAGGCAGCTGACAGTGAGTTCGGTTGCCTCGTCGTCCACGGGCGCATAGCTGCAGCGACCGAAAAGTGGTGGCGCCTGGCACCGCAAGAGGTCGTCCTGCTCTCTGCTTTGATACGCACCTTATCCGCCTCTGGATCATCCTCTTGCGATTACCCGGTTTTCCTTCCTCAAGGCAGCCCCACTGTTGCCCACCGCCTGCTCTGCTTCAGGCTTCTCCCCGGTGCAAGTGTGTGTGTTTTGTGYGGTCCTACCCCACCTCTGCACAAAGCCGAGACCGAGCTGGTGGGTTGTTTCTGGTCACCCCTGGTAGAAACTTTGAGAAGCTGCCTGGCCGTCGGGGAGCGCTGCATGCCAGGATCCGTCTCTCTGCGGCCTGACGTGCTGGCACTCCTCCTCATTAATCGTGAAACCCGTCGTTCGGTCTCCTGCGTGCAGACTTCCACTCATCATCCACTACTTTCCAAAACTCGCTGCTGGGAGCTGCTGAAGGCCTTTTATATCTTCTGCATTTCTCGCTACTTCGCTCAGGACGAGACGTGCGCTTCAACGGAGGAGAGCGCTCCGAGAGGCAAAACAGAAGACTTTATCCTCGGGTTTTCTCACCAGCCTCAACAGTGCTATCTAGTTACAGAAGAATGTAAAAGCTTTGGACTTCAGACACCACAGCACCAGCTGTTTCTGCTTGTGTCACCATCTGTGCCCACTTTTGCTGTACGCACAGTGGCAACACAAACTCTCTCTCATATAGTTTCAGCCACAGGGTTTTAATCGAATTGTTGTTGTTTTTGTTRTTGCCAAAGGTTAATTGTTTTATTGTAGTGACCTAATCATAAATTATCAGTGTGTAGGGGTCACCTCGAGTGAAAAAAATCAACCCCTACAAGTGCAAGAGAAGTTCAAAACATCTGTGATGTGAATTTGTTTTGATTTTTTTTTATTCCTGACTGAAATAATACAGTTGTTTAAAAGTTCAGTTTCCTTTATTGCTTTTTGTGAATGCAATTATTTAATTTACAAATCAAAATAAAAGAAATGTATTAAATCTCTTTTAAGAGGTAATTGCCTACCTTTGAAACACTAATTTAGAAGAAATTAACACAAGTTTAAATGTATTAAGTGAAGTGTTGAAGCTGCCTCAAACCTGTTCAAACTTGTATCTCAAGTTGTGCTGTGAAAACTTTTAATGTAGCTTGTTCTGCTTTTTTTTATTTGATGGAAATAAATTTGGTTTGGTACATTTTTTACACAAGTCCATACTTGTTGAGAAGTGAGTTTTATTTTTTAAAAATGCAGTAGGAATACTGAGTGCTGCTGCTAAAGAAGCTAAAACTTAGTTAAGCTAAGAAGCAAAAATATGCTAAAAGTATTAAAAGGGCTAGCTGATTTGGATAAAAAAGCTAAAGTAGCAAAAAGCATGCTAAAAGTTGCAAAATGGCAGCTGAAAGTTGCAGAATGGTAGCTAAAAGCAGCTAAATGCTAGCTAAAAACTAAAATAAAATTACTAACAAAAAAATATTGAAAGGATTGAAG